TTTCCTTTCCTTTCCTTTCCTTTCCTTTCCTTTCCTTTCCTTTCCTTCCTTCCTTCCTTTCTTTCTTTTCTTTCTCAGAGTTGACAGAGTTCAGGAGGACAAGGCCTGGACACAGAGCCCAGCCACAGAGCCCAGCCACAGAGTTGACAGAGTTTAGGGAGGACAAGAGGAGGACAAGGCCTGGACACAGAGCCCAGCCACACAGCCCAGCCACAGACGGCCAAGAGGAGGACAAGAGGAGGACAAGGACACAGAGAACAGCCGCAAAGCCGAGTTGACAGAGTTCCTTGGCGCGGCCAAGAGGAGGACAAGGCCCAGCCACAAAGCCCAGCCACAGAGTTGACAGAGTTCAGGGGCGCGGCCAAGAGGAGGACAAGAGGAGGACAAGGCCCAGCCACAGAGCCCAGCCACAGGGCCCAGCCACAGAGATCAGGGGCGGGGCCAGTGAGTGTGGCCAGCTCTTTTCTTTCTAAGATAGAACCCCAACAGTAAACTGTTTGGGGAAAAAGGAGCAGACAGAGGTTCAAGGTCTTTAGTTAACAATGTCGTGGGTAAGTTAGGCTTCAAACCCCAACTGACAACAGCATCTCATTGTTGACCTGACTTGAGGGGCAGTTGTTTCACTCACACTCAATGTGGTGTCGAGCACCCTGCACTCAGCTCTGGTCTACAAAAAGGGGCCGCAGGGAGACAGAAAAGGAGGAAGAAACAAAAAAACAAACGAAAGGACGAAAAGTAACACTCAAAGCCAGAGTGTTAAGGAAGGGGGTGGGAGGGGTGGGAGGGATGGGAGGGGTGGATAGACCGCTCAAGGCAGGGGAGGTAGTAATAGGAGGAAGCTAGTTGTAAAATAAGCAAGCTGCTAAGTGCTTGGAAGCTACTGCTCCAGGGTCAAAACGCTTTTGATTTTCAGAGCCATTAAGCCTATTAAGCTGTTCCACATTGGTCATCTGGTCGACCATGCGTGCCCGAAAGCAGAGGTGCACGCATGCAAGTCACCATGCATGCCTGCATTTGCTCAGCCGAATGCTTCCGGAGAATCAGCTCATGGAGCTGTGAGCGAGCCTGGCCAAGTGGAGCTATCCCTTCAACTCACAGGGGTGGCTCACAGCCTGTAGTGCAGCTCTCAGTGAGGACTTCGAAAGCCTGGGACAGCAACAGGATCAAAAAGGGCAATTTGTCAAGCACTTATAATAATAGCTTTCTATCATGTTCAATCATGTTCCTAACCACCTATGGGCAAGAACGGCGATAAGCAGAATTCCATAGCCTCTCAAAAGCAGGCGGATAGGGCGGCTAATTCACCGCCAACTCTCTTAACTGTGCAGCTTCGAGACCACTCAGCAGCTGCCAGGTCAAAGTGATCTAACCTGAACACTCACCGACCAAGTTTGGGTAGCACACTGATGCAAGCCTTTCTCTGCTGTTCCTTGTAGCATCAAACAAGACTCGTTGCCAGCTTCGTCACCTGTGCCCGTCTGAATCCAGGAAGTCCAAAACGGTTGGCCTTGGAGGAAATCGGCTCAAAGGGTTTGCGTACTGTCAACACAAACTCAAAGCGGAAAATGCAGTTTACACTGGCTGGGTTTGCGGGCTTACCAATTCCATACAGCCTCACGCAAATCTCCCTTGAGGAGACGCACCTCAGCACAGGTTGACCATGGACTGTGGGCGACTGGCACACATGCAAGGAAACGCCACTGAAAACTTGGGCTCAGTGCTGGCCGCTGCTGTCAATAGATACTTCCTGCTCAGTGACCACGGTGTGGGAGAGGTTTGTTGTGTGACTCCAGCCGCCTCTACGCACGACACTTGGGGCTGATCTTGTGGCGCCAGAAAGGCCTCCACAAGGACGAACGAATCTGACCTCTTGTGATCACAACGCTCAAACAAATGCTGTGCGACTGTGATCGGTGGCAAACCTCCTCTGCCAGAACAGTTGGACTGCCGAGGTTCTGTCCACCTGCACCAGTCGTGGACACGAGAAGCACTGCTAAGCAAGTCCACAGGCCACAGCATTCTACTTTTGAGAGTTGCTCCTCAGGCCCAGACTGATGTCTACATATGTCCTGCCGCTGCAAGTTGTTGGTTGATACGTGGTTGTTCCTATTGCTTTCCCGACCCAGAAGCGATGCTTGTGCCTTTTATCCAGCTGCCAAACGCAGGCGTCTTTCAATGTCACGTCACCTGCGGTGCTTCTCGCTGTCTTTCAGGCTTCCATAGGAAATGAAAATGATATAAAAGGAGCCTCACTGATGGTCTTTAAGAAAGCCTTTGTAACAAGCCAAGCCTCGAAGGACTTGCGTTGGAACCTGGGCCAAAGCTGTGCTCTGTGCCCTCCGAATAGACTCGCAAGCGACTTTTTTACAGGACTCGTCATGGAACGAAAAAGTAGAGACTATTTGTTTCGTGATTTTCTTGGCTTAGCTTTGAGCTTCAGCTGCACTTTGCATCAAATTCTTTTGCCACTCTTCAGAGGGCTTCGCCTGCCCACAACTGAAGATTCAAACAGTAAAACTGCAAAATTCTTCAGAATCAACCAGCATGTGATGCAAAAGACAGACTCCAAACTCAAGTATGTGCTTTTCCGAAACGTTTGGCTTGCAGAAACTCTCCCTTTCACCGGCCCTTTGACGGTCTTTCAAGGTGCCAAAATCATTTCTGAGGACTTTGCCAAGACTTCAACTCCTTGAAGAAGTCGATTGATCACACTCTGCGAGCGACGAGCCTGGCTTGCAGGGAGAGTGTCACAAAGCCAAGAGACCACAAGAGCGGCTTCTTAACCTCTTTAAAATTCCAGTACTGATTACGAATTTTAATACAAAGAAAATACCTTGCTGTCACTGACTTGTTTCATTGCGTATACAGAATATTGTAATTATATATACATAGAGAGAACTGCTTTCTTTCCAACGTGGGTAGGCCATGAAGAAAGTAAAGAAAGTAAAGTAGCGACTAATATACGATAATGGCAAGCTACTAGATGCAAGGACGTCGAAGGGCTCAGGTTCTGGGAACTTTTGTCGCACTTGTCCCTCAAGTTTCAGAGAAGCTTCCGGTGGGTCAAAAAGCCCTTCACATGGTCAGACGGTTCCGGCGTTTCAAAGGACTAAAGGCGTGACGAGTCCGGCCTCTGCTTCCCAATGCATCGAAGTAAGCCGCTCCCCAAGAAGAAGAGCCAACAGCTCCATCATCGGCAAAAGCGATGCAGCCTGATGAAAACCATTTGGCCGCAGGGCTACCCATCAAGACGTCCAAGGCCCAGCCTCAATTGTTGGAATAAGTTCTGCAACTAGGACGCCTTCCACACCTAGCAGGATCGTGGCTTTGGTCCGTGAAAACCGTGGTAGAGGATTGCAGCATCAAGGCGAGTCTTTCTGAATAGCTAACAGAGTCTCTTGCAAGGGCACAAAGTGCAAACAAAGTGTGCCATTGCAGCTGCAAAAGACTTGAAGACCATGATTCCAGGTCTTGCTAAAGGTTGAAATCCGGCAGAGAGAAGTATGTAATATACGGCTGTACAGACTTGTTGAGCTCAGCCATCTGTGCTTTGAATGAAGACCTGGATGGCCTGAAACCAGCAACCCACATCCACAATTCGACCACTGGTAAGTTCTGGAGTATGGATTTTTTAATGTGGGCGCAGCATGCACCTCATTGATGAAATCCCAGCCATGCTTCCAGGGCCGCACGCCCCTTGGCCAGCCGACGTGGCCGCCTCGATCCTGGCAAGCAAGCTAGAGAGCAGCCACCCGGATCTCTAATGCCGATGGACTCTAATCTCACCCTTCCGCGACTGAAACAGCATACTCATACATACTGTTTACATACTCCATGCCGACTCTTGGCCAAGATTCGGTGATGAGGAAGAGCAGGTTGTGATTGTCTGCCGAGAACTCTTTGGCCCTGGCACTATTCACACTCAAGATCAAGGTGGTGATGTGGGCACTATGTGTCTGGAAAGACCACTGTGAAGCACAACTTGAATCAGCGTTACTCTGATGTCCCCACCTCAAAGCATCACAGTGGGTGATTGGGTCCTGATGCGGGAAGGCAATTCACAAGTGAACGGTGTGTCAATATGTGTCAATGAGCTTGTGTGTTCCCATGTCCTGCCTGCCACACCAGGAATTCAAGTAAGGTAGTGTGAGAGTCCCCAAGCCCCAAACCACAAAATATTGAGCTCTCTGTTTATTGCAATAATTTACAAAGGCAAGCCGAGGTGCATCTCGGGCAGCCACAGCTAGCAGCGGTATGCTGACATTTCCTGGAACCATTTGTGTAAAGTCAACACAAAGTCTCAGAAGACAGCAGTTATCAGCGCCACTCAAGGCTTCTAAATTACCAAGCTTCTCCATTTGTCATCGGACGCCAGGCTCAAGTCCCGGTAGTAGTCCTAGTTGCAAGTCAACCGTAAAGACTCAAAAGGAGACTCTCAAAGCATTCCACTCTTGTGGAAATGCCAAGAATCCAGGACACCATCATAGCCATTGTAGACCGAAACGAAGTCCTGTCCAGCAGACTCCTTGCTCTTCCTTCCCGTGAGGTCTATACAACTGGTGTGTCCTTGTCTATATCAACCACACTGGCCACCTTCCCAGACATGATGCGGTTCATGTCCACACCACGTTTGGATGCCTCCAAAGGCAAAGAAACCCGGGCACCGAGACATGGTTGAGGCTATTTGTGCACAGAATCAACACTCACAAGACTTGCGGTTGTACATCTTTTGCCCCAGGGAGCAAAGGTCGAGGCTTCAAAGGGGCAGATGCAAACCAAGATCCAATGATGCTAATACCAAACGAGCATCCCTTCAGTGCATGTGTCTGGAAGGATGGATCAAACAGTTGAGGAAAAATGCTGGACAGAAGTCTACAAGCGCAAGACATCTAGCCGAGCGCGGTGAGAGTTGCGTGGGATGGTGAAACTTGTGTACAAGCTGTTCAGTGTTCCTTGAAGCATGTCACAAGGCCCTCTGTTTGACATCTGGCATATATGCGGCATATGTGTTAAAAGGCTGCTCCAAATCTCCAAGTCAAAATCTTTGTACACAAGGCTTAACGTTGACCAAAGTCCACTCCGCTCTAGTGCGCTCTGCGGCCTTGGCATCTACGAATGGCCTCACTTTGCCCCCTGGGTAGCCATCGCTGAGGAAACTTTGGTCCTTAGCATGCCCTGCAGAGCTATGTCGTGCCAAATGAAGATGATGGCATACGCTGCGCCAAACCACCAGAACCTGCCCGGGCTTTCCGTGTGACTTTCATGACGCTCGAAGGCACATCCCAACTCCAAAAAGCCCGTATAGGTATATAAAAACGTGTAGATTATACAGTAAATGCAATCAAAGTAACGCAGGAAACGTAACGGCCACGAGCACAAACATGCTGTCACTGACCCCAGCCGGGGGAGCACGCCAGAGAAGTTACATATCCGGACCGTTTGGCGATTCTTGGCGTTAGGGCACGTGTTCTGCACACAATCAGACGGGGATAACGAGTGCTTGAGGTTGGAAGTACCTAGAGTTGGTGGACACAGGATGATCTACATACAAAACGGGATGTTATCACACAGAATCTAGATCAGCTGCGCACACAGAATCTGAAATTTAAATTAAGAGGATGACACCTTGTGTACAAACCTGCGTGTACAAAGGGTCCGTTCTCGCTTCTCCGCGTGTACAAACGAACCTGCGTCCCTGTTTACCGGTTCAGCAAGCATCGTTTGGCTTCTTCGCGCGGAACTAAATGAGTTAACAGCGTGGTGGGGCTCAGGGCAAGCATGGCAGCCGACACGGATATGCGTCCAGCAGCGAGCAGTTTGCTTGCTCTGGGCTAGTGGATCACCAACGAATTCAGGTTGCACCAAGGATCTTACAACAAAATGACAGCGTTTTGACTGGTGACTAGCTACAAATAAAGACCTGACTGACTGAGCCCGATTTGGATACAGAAAATAAATTTGCCCCTGGCTGTCAATCCTTCTTGTCCTGTTCATACTGCCAGCCCTGGTTCTTCATCACAGCTAGCTAGCCCTCGTCGGTGATGTGGCTGTGGGGGGAGGCACCATGTGCTGGGACAACCACAAAATAGCCCCGGGTTTCGTCCTAGTCACTTCGATCGGCCAGACAGCTATGGAATGGCCACTAGGTGCCATCCTCGTCAATTCTGCTAATGTATTCAAACAAGACAGACGAGCATGGCACAGGTGGATGGTGCCTTTGTAAGAAATCACTGGACGGTCAACGCGCAACGAAGACGATTTCTCAAGATGTTCTTCAGCTTTGTCTCAAAACCGGCAAATCTCCGCAATATCGATTGATGGCACTTTATCCACAAAACCAGGCATCTGACTGAAACAGGGGTCGGCCCCACAGGCGTCGGCCCTTATAATTCTCTCAAAAAAGAGTCGCGGCGCTTCGCGGCGCTTCGTGATGATTGTTCTGATTGCCGGCCTAGGAGAAATGCCACGCTGTAGCAAGGTCTGGGATGTCACCACTCCAAGCACGAGAGCCAAAGTGATACCTTCGAACGCACGCTGTTAAACAATAAACAAGAATGGACATATGGACCGAACAATAAGGATAATGCCTTATCTAAGTCCCAATTGTATGTGTATATATATATATATACGTGTTTGGCTTTCTCAAGTCACTAACCAGCGTGAAACCGTCAAAACTGTTCAACTCAATTTCTCCTGGCCTAAGCTTCGCTTTGCAGCTCTTTTTCTCTTGGAGTCTGGGTTCCGACCACAAACAAAGTCGACGGAGAAGTTGGCCAAACAGTTCCAGTGCCCAGTCACCATGTTGGTGACCTTGGAAATGTCTACCACTCGTCTGTACATTTCGTTGAGTAGGAACGGGAAAGGAAGAACCAAGCGGTACAGAGCTGGAAAAGCAAAGTGAAAAGGCGTCAAGTTAGGCTATACACCAGAAGGTATGAAGCAGCATGGAAAACACACATTGAAGGCTAAATGGCGGGTGTGTGTGTGTGTGTGTGGAAAGGGGGTCAGCAAAAAATGATTGTACGAAGTTAGTACATCAAAAATACCTTCCCCGAAGTTCTGCGAAGGTTTCTGTTGCTCTTTACATACGCTTAGTTTTCCTACTGGCCAACCATTCCACAAAACGTCCACGAATAGCCCCGGTTCCACGAATATCCTGGGCCTTCCATGAAGTTAGAATAGGTTTTGCAAAACCCTTTCTGTGCACTACCATTTCGTGTGCGCCTGACACATAGTAGAGTGGCGTGGCTTGTTTTAGCAGGGCAGCATCAGGCCCGGAGAAGGTATCTTGTAACCAACGCACCGTGAACATACTGAAGTATCATAGTTGGGATGTGATGTATCTGTCAGGTCTATATATATATAAGTTGAATTGCCTTGCATTTGATGGCAACTTGTTCACTCTGAGTTCAAGTTGGTTGTATGTGACCAAATCATAACAAAAAGGATGCAGAAAGTGGGGGAGTAATCAAAAGTGTAAGAAAAGGAAGCCACACCTGTGTTGGTTTCCTGGTCAACCTTTTGTTGGACCGCTGTCGCAGCAGCTCTGAAGTTCTGTTGCAAATGTACTAAGTGGCCAAACTAGTGTCTGAAAGTTGTCCCAGAAAAGGAACTATAATCTCTCCACTTCACTGCTCCTCACTATCCCTCAGAGAATGGACTAGAAACGCCTTTTTGAGTACAGCGGCCTTCGGTGGGTTGCCAAGACACAGCCTCTGGACCCGTAGAGGAAAATGCGTTTGCCAATCCAGCGCCAAGTGCCAGGAGTGTCAAGTGCCAGTGAGAGGCAAAGTGCAAAGACCTCTGAGCAACATACAGAGAGAGAGAGAGAGAGCGCCTTTCCTATTAGTGGTAGTAGCAGCATCAGCAGCAGCAGCAGCAGAAGTAGCCTGGAAACAATACAGAATCAGCAACGTTGCCTTGAACAGACAGTGTCTATCGTATTGCCAAGGAGCAAAGCATCTGCTGCTAGGTTTACCAAAAGCACAAGCCTTGGATTTGAAAGTTTGCTATCACCCTTGTGAAAAAGAAAAGACTAAGTACCAGCAGCAAAGATTGAACTAGACCCAAGTAGCGGGGCAGTGACTGCCCACTTGCGAGAGCCCAGCCAGAAGTTCAGAAGCCGAAAAGTGGCTACACCGAGCACCTGCAAATGTGGGAGTGAAAAACATGTCTATGTCAACCCATCTGCAGTCTGCAGAAGGGTAGACTCTTATGCTTATTGGTTTGACTCCGTCCTTTTAAGGCAGTGTGGAGTCAGGCTCGTCTTCATCACATGTTGCCTTTGGTTTACTCCAGATTTCTAAGCAAAGCATGGGCGCTCGGACCCAACCCAAAGAAAGCCTGGATACCTTCGGGGTCCCTGTGAGCTTCACTTTCGGTGGGTTAATTGTCTTTCAGTTTCGGTCCTGTTGGTTTGTTTTTCTCCAGGCTAACGGTCCAGCAGTCTCTGTCGGGTTCAACGTTGTTTTCGGGTTTCATTCGTTCGAGCGATTTTTCGCTGGAATTTAGAGCAATAAAATGATCGAACCGTTTTCACTTCCCCATGCGGCTCTTGAGTTCTTCGAGTTCCATTGACCAGCAAAAAAGGGTGCGAATTCCGCAGGGTGTGCAGACGTGCACAAGGATGTGGTCCGTGCAGGGTCATAGCCGTGCAGGGTCAAGGCTACAACCAGGGTTATAACCAGGTTTATAACCATGCTACAACCAGTGTCAGGGTCTGTCAAGGGCAGAGTGTGCCCCAGGTGGTTGGAACAGTTCCAGTTCCATATCTATGGTGAGAGTGGCCCTGGGAGGGTGGATTAGTTCCAGTTCCAGTTCCAAATCCATTGTGACAGTGTCCTGGAAGGGGTCAATTCGAGCTCCAGTTCCAGGTCCAGGTCCACATCCCACAGTCTCGGATAGGGGACCAGTGCCACTTCCAGTTCCGGATCTTAGAGCCGTCTGGGGGGAGGATCAGTTCCAGATGCGGAGCCGGGTGTCACGCAGAGCATTTCCAGTTAGATCCATTTCCACAGGTTGCAGTGTAGGACGTGGGGGGCACCACGTGCAAGTCGAAGTCTAGTTTCCAGCAGGCTGCAGAAGCATGGCGTTTGTGGGAGTTGGGACGCATTGCCCCCCCGAGTGCCCAGGCGGATACTGTCAGGAACCCTTTCTTGCACCACCGTCGAGTGAGGCGTCGCACGCCGGTGAAGCTAAAAAGGAGGAGCACATGTACGCGTATCTCTGTACCCAAATCCAGATATAGCCAATCCCTCTACATATATAGACCTAGACGCTCCCATGTATTTCTTATATTCCAAAAAATGCCTAGCTTTGACACTTGGTTTCTGTCCTCAACAGGTTTTGTGGTCGGGCGACTTTACTTGGTCATGCCATGTAACATGTTTCTCCCCTCTGCTCAAGAGCATTCAGACCTCACCACATGATACATGTTTCTTTCGATGGAGAGGAAAAACAAAGCCTTGCAACCATAATGACCCAGGGCATGTGTGGACTTCGCAGGCGGTCGGATAACAAGCACATGTGGCTTGCATCTCTGGATGAAGCGGACGGTGGATGAAAACAAGCATCAATACACGGAACAGCGTGGCCCACATGCATGGACGCGCAGCGGACACGAACAGGTTCGGTATGAA